GCAGCCACCAAAAAAATCCATTAGCCAGTTTCCCCCCAACCAAGACGATTAGAGGGGGGGGGCTCAAAACCCCCAGACTCCCCCACCCGCGGGCTGGGGAATTCTGGGAGTTAAGTCCACCCATCTTCAAGTTGCTGAGGTTGAGGAACCCTGGCATAAGGTATTTACTTGGATGCTGCCAGTGCCTTAAGAAACAGCTACATACTTACATCCCCAGCAATTTGTCGGAAAATATTTCTGAACTGCTGATCTTCTTCATTATCTGTATCCCTTTCTGCTGGCTGCAAAGACATGGAATGAAAAAGATGAAGTGAAAGGAAAGGCTAATCGATGAGCTTTTAAAAAGTAGAAGTGCTGTTTTGATCTTTATGAGATACTTCATTGCAATTCAGTGTTGAAATTATTTCTGTCTAGATCCCTTTCGAGGGAAAGATCTTCCGTCTTGTTTCTGGGTTGCTTCTTCGGGAGATAAATTATTAATTAATTATTAATTCTAAATTATTCACAGATGCTTCTTTGTGTACAGAAGAATACAGGAACAATACAGGTGGTCCTCTTTTAGTGACCGCAATGCGACCAGCAAGTCGATTGTTAATGGAAGTGGTTGCTACGTGAAAAATCACATGACTGAGACTCTGCTTAGATTTTACTTTAACTTTCCTTTGCTTTACAGCATCACAAAGATATGATCCCAAACAGCCAGGTGAGCCCAATAGTGGGGAAGGTTTCCAGAATTTGACTCACAAGGAAGCTGGGTAAAAGAGCAAATCTCATAGTCCTTTTTTCCCACTCTCTTGCCTTTTGGAATGCTCACCCTGACACTGGGATAATTAACCAGAAGAGAATTAATGTTTGTATTTACATTCATTGGCGAGGAAGGGATTACAAGAAAGTAAGCAGGTACACAGTGGGGAATACACGTAGAAAGGAATGCGCTAGCACCAGCTCTTTTCCTAGCACACTCCTGGCTGTGAACTGGGACGCTTGGGAGGCAAACAAAAGCCTTTAGTGTGAAACTGATAAGGGTCTTCTCAGGGTCAGGCAGCAGCTACAAGCCATCGGGAGGGTTTTCATCAACTTATTAAGGCAGTTTTTTCCAAACTTGGCCAATTTAAGATGGGTGGACTTCAACCCCCAGAATTCCCCAGCCAGCATGGCTGGCTGGGGAATT